AGAGGTGGTATGTTCCAATATGGCAATAGAAGATCGTACGCTGCAAATTACACTCAGGAAAAGAGAGGATGCTTATCATGAGACGTTTGTTCACATACGATCACGAAAACGCCTTTATAAAACTGATGGAAGGCTGAAGACATTTACTAGACTTCTTCTGGGAAATTTTTAGATGTTTATGGACCAGTCGCCAGAAATGAATCTTTTCGCTGAACAACTGTATATATGACACTGCTACCTACACAGTTGATCAAAATAATTAAGATAAACGATGGTTAAATCTGCATCTTTAACTTGCAGATATCACGGGATTGCTTTCGGGGGGATGCATTTCTTTCGCGTGTTGATTCACAGATTACATCAATGGGGTTAGTTTTGTTAGCAAAGATGTATATAGGTGTTTTACGTCAACCATTTAGAATGTTGTAGTATCTTGTTTTAGTTTTGACATCTAATATATGTACGCTTTGATAACCGAATATTGTCATATGACAATATAAGTTACGAAAAATTATACAATATTACATGGACAGATATGAATTTCAAATTATTTTTGATTCAAGAATATAACGCTCATCTTAACCAGCACATGGTGTTTAAAAGCGCGTTATTTAGTGGTGACTCAAGTAAAACAAATTCCTGATTTAATGTCCGGTCAAGGTCAGACATACCATTAGTTTGATTCGAATTAAAGGTGATCCGACTGACCTATGCAGCTTAAGTACATTCGTCTCCACGTTATTTAATGTCAGTTGCGTATACTTGATTGATGTCGGAAGAATCCGGCAAGGCAAGCTTGGAAAACGTAATTAAGTACGCAATTTCCTGCGCAAACGGCAATTTGTGAGTGGCGGTTGAAAGCCCCTTCATCATTAACAGAATGCAGTTTTCGTTATTTTACTTTAAAATTAAAAACAGTAGTAAATTTTGTGTATGTCACACGCTGCTGCAATGTATATCGTGGCCTTTTCGACATTTGTTTGATTGGATCCTGCCTTTCGCGGTTGTGCAAACCTCAATAATTAGTACCCTATCCTTGTAATGTTGTCGCTACCTGAGACTTCTCTGGAAATCATTACATGGACGTTACTGACAGCGATATGCATTGACGCAATAAGAGTGGCAATGCCCAATTGCCAAATATATGCAGTATTGGATGACTCTTAAAATTGGATCATCACACACGATATTGTTTAATCGTGAAACATGGTCCGTGACTGGTTTTTTTCACTTTCGCGATGTAATTACCCCGAGTTTAAAAGTATATTGGTCATTAACTGGATTGCGTAATCTCAACAACAAAGTCATTTCAAGCGAAGCTCTTATATAGTTATTTTGGGCAACATTTGGAACACATTTCCAAGCGTCGTTCATCCTACCACTTTAAATGAACCATACGAGATTCATCGACTGCATTCCAATTGATCCCATGCCGTCAACCAATTGCCGGTTATCAGCGGTTTTATCGAATGACCAACCAATAAAATATCGTTCACAAACATATAAATACAGAGTTGATTTCATAGTTTAACATGTTGCCATCAAGTCCGACCCAGATGAAACTTCCCTTGCCGATCATAATGCGGATTGCATTTGTTTGTTTGTTTGTCGCTGTGGGTGCGTTCGTTTTTTGTATAAAATCCCTGACAATATAATTTTAAGCAGATATTTGATATCGCCATGACCACGTTACCATAGTATTACATCGATATCGTCCGTAGACACATATAATATTCTTCAAACAACCATCAGTAATCTGTTAAAAATACCAGTTCTTCGGAATTTAGTCCTTACATTCATTCTTACATCATGTCTTTAGTCTGCGCGCAGTCAGCCACAAACAATAACATATGCAAACGTGAACACAAGGGATGCAAAACAGTGAACTACGCAGTTGGAGACAAAACGCAAGGCCGTCAATGCCTGGACGCCTGTGCGAACAAACCAGGTTTGCTCATTTTCCGCATATTTGCTCCGACCGCATGCCACCGATACCTAATTAACTTCACATCTCGTCTCAACGTTAAACCTATCCTCCTCCTCCTCCTCTAGATAATCTGACCGAAAAAACCACTGCATACCTCTGCGCAACGCCTGACGGGGCTTGCAGTGCATATGAAGTACGTGGACGTAGAGGATACGGTAAAAACTTCGAAAGACACGTTATGTGCGCTCAGGCGTGTGAATTCGTTGGAAAAGGTGAATTGCTCAAAAAACCCCTTCATGCATCTGTTTTTGCTTTATAGACTCAATGAAAACTGCTCAGTGGTTTAAATAACCGTTTTTGGTTAAACGAACTACAATGCTTCCTATAAAGACAAATTATAACTTTTAGTTGAAAGCACTTCAGCAATGTCGTTTGAGCTCTGCAGAGGAACGAATGAGAAGTGCGTTCAGATTGAGAGAAACAATGGGAATTTCGATGACTTCAGAAGATGCATTTCCGAGTGTGATGGCTGGGCAATACGTAAGCAGATGCTGTTTCCCGTTAATGCATCAATTTACTCTTGTCTGTCATTGCTGTCGTCTACATTCCTTTTTTAGCGGAAAACACCTATGAGCGAACAGCACATCTCTGCCTCAAAGATGGCGACTGTCAGAAACGCAGCTACTTCCTCAAACCGAACGAGACGCGCGTATTTGCCAGTCTGACGTCCTGTTTGAAAACGTGCATGCAAGGTAAAATTTGAGTTCCACTGCTTACGGCCGCATTCAATTGTATCTATGCCGCCGACATAGAGTATGCAATGTCGGACAGTGGGATGTGAAATTGCGTCTTACGCAGTCTATTTATTTGGGCTAGGAGACTGGCTAAAACAGTTTTGGGCCTTTGAATTTCAACCATATATATCGGGTTTCTATAGGTGTGTCGTACTGGAAGCACTCGTGACTAATTCGATATAGTAATAAATATGCTATTCTGTAATTCAAATCCGCAGCTTCCATTCAGCGCGTATGCCTGCCCATATAAATGCTATCATTACGCCAGAAACTGTGAATTCAGGGAATTTGCCTACCGAGTTCATCCAAAACGCTTTTTGTAAATGAAAAGTGCCATGCAATTATGCTCACATTCTCACGTCTTTATTCGAAAAAAAAACAAATTTTCTCGGACTGGACATATTGTGAACTAAGTGGACAAGGTTTTGAACAGATGATTGTTGATTCGTTACAAAGAGAAATAAAAAGTAGCTAGCATGAGCAAAGAATCACATAAGAAATTTTGTTTCTCAGCACTTTTGATATATCGTAGACTCGTAACCTAGTTCTTCATCCAAAAATTACTTCTTTGATTTTCTCAACTATAGGTCCTTTTGGAAGTTTACCTACCCAGTAGATTACCTATCGTTAATGCATTTTTCATTTACGAAATCAATGGCAAATTCAAAGCGCACATACAACCTCTCATCTTTTTTCTGCATTTCTGTATGCCTGCTACCCGTTAGTTTATTTTCAATTCTAAGTTAAGAGTGCATTTTATTTCGGTAAGAATGAATACTTCAAACTTTAACTTTTTTTAAACATAAAGCATTACTGAGATCCTAACCACAACAGTGAGGGTCAAACGCCCACTTGACATGCTTATATACCTCACTTCATAAGGCCTATGACGTACTGATGATCGGTAACGACCGTGAAACAGCTGTCTGCGTCTGGCCTGTTGCACTCTTAGCAAGCTGCTCATGTAATATATATATATATATATGCTGTAAAACGGGCATCCCAAGAAATTTAATTGAAAATAAGTAAGATTCTTTGGGAAGGGAATAAACTTTAATGAGTAAATTTTCGAGTCTGGATCCCCAGCTCGTCGTCAGACTTTTGGGCAATGTACAAAAACAGTTAACTATTTAACCGTGTCAAACAAGTGATTCTATGGTTGGCCGAAGTCTGCGCCAATGCGCGTCAACGATTTTGTCATCCCTTCGGCATTGGCTGCGCTCGCTTCCATTTGTCCTTGAGAAATTTGTATGTGGCATCTAAATCGATATGCCGATTGATGCATGCCTCATCTGAGTGCATTGCTTCCAGGAATTCGCGGCCTTTCCTTATTGGGCAGGCGCCAACAATGCGGGTGTTCTCCCATGCAAATTTGTGTCCAGTGTCCAGTGTGTGCATAGCCACCTGGGATAAATGATCTCGTCTCCTCACCGCTAACTGATGCTCATGTAAGCGGGTAGAGGCGGATTTCCCAGTTTGGCCACAATACACGGCATCACAACTGGAACATGGTATCTTGTAGACAACACCTTTCCTATCAAGATAGCCAACCCTGTCCTTAGGGTGTACAAGCTGTGTGCGCAAGGTGGTTGTAGGTTGGTGTGCTACGTGTATCTGATGCTTTTTCAGTTGTCTTTCGACAAGTTCAGATACATTTTTGATGTATGGGAGGGTCCGCCAGGTGAAAGTTTTTGGTGCTTGGGTGGCCGCTGTTTTCGAAATACCTTTCTGTTTAAACTCATGTTTCATGCAATGATGCACAAAGTGGCGCGGGTAGCCGTTGTGGGAAAATAATTTGAAAAGGTATTTCACTTCTGCTTGATAACTTTCTTCATCAGAGCAGTGTGTTTTAGCTCGGTTTAGTAGGCTGTAGACAGTACTCCTCTTGTGAGTGATGGGGTGGTTACTCTCAAAGTGTAGGATGACCTCGGAGTATGCTTCTTTGCGATAAACTGAAGTCTGAAGGGATCCATCAGTTTTTCGGCATACGAGGACATCTAGAAATGGGAGCTGTCCGTCAACCTCTGTTTCAAATGTGAACTCAATTCCTGGAAATGTGGAGTTAAGATTCATGTGAAGTTGGTCTAATTGGTTTCTCTTGACAATGACAAATGTGTCATCAACATAGCGTAGCCAGAGTTTTGGATTAATTTTTGGAAGGGCAGTTAAGTTTCCTGCACCGTTGTCGTAACAACAAGATTCTTCCGAAGTCTGTGCGGATAAAGCCCGCGATAAAGTCAACCCAAGGCTATCAAATTGCGATCCGTTATGGTCAACAAATGCTTGGAGCATTCATAACTGACGCGCACCACCGACTTCGTAAATTCACAGAACAGAAAGAACAACACAGGCAATTTTGCATTGACCGACTTCCTCCCCAGGTATTTGAAACCCTACAGGAAACCATCACACATGTCTCGGAACTAGAGCGTCTTAAAAAGAAGAATGTTTTTGACAAAAAATGGATGGCCATTTCTAGAAAAGGTTACAATGACTCTTCATCCTCAAAGAAAGTTATAAACTTATCATCACGAATACTGACGACAGCCGAAGAGAACGTGCTGAGCAAAGGAATGAAGTACAATCCATCTGACTCCAACTACTTGAACTTCCTTGCCAGCTTCGAATCCATTATAACTTCGGCAGGTCTTACAGAGGAAGAACAATTTACAATTCGCAACAGTACGGTACAGGCCTTGAAGAACAGAAACAAGTTCTCAACTTTGTCTGGCGATGAAAAGAAAGCACTAAATTCACTTAAAACTGATGAAAACATCATCATTCTGCCCGCTGACAAAGGAGGCTCCACCACCATAATGAACAAGACGGATTACACAGAGAAGATGATGACACTATTAAAAGACGAATCCACCTACGAACCCCTAGATGCTGACCCCACAAAATCGCAGAATTCATGCATCGAGAAAACACTAAAGCGCCTTACAGGAAAGAAATTAATCTCAGGAGTTCTGGCTAAATCCTCAAAACAAGACGAACCCACAATTGCCAAAATATATGGACTTCCTAAAGTTCACAAAGTAGGTATTCCACTGCGACCGATAGTCTCCTTAATCGGTGCACCAAACTACAAGATTTCTAAGTGGTTATTTCACCATCTGCATCCACTTACAAAGGACTCTGAGAACTCCATTGAAGATTCGAATCAGTTCCTAGACAAATTAAAAGGAGCGACTGTTGCTGCCGACGAGATAATGGTTTCATTCGATGTAGTCTCCCTCTTCACCTCGATTCCATTGGATTTAGCGAGACACTGCACCGAAGAACTCCTTCAGACTTACACCACTGATGTGCCTGCCGACGCTCTACTCCAACTACTTGATGTTTGTCTAGAAACCAACTTTTCTTTCGCCAAACAATGTTATCGGCAACTAAAAGGCGCTCCTATGGGTTCGCCTATATCTGGCTTTCTAGCAGAAGCCATAATGCAGAAACTGGAGTCTATAGCCCTTCCAAAAATTAATCCAAAACTCTGGCTACGCTATGTTGATGACACATTTGTCATTGTCAAGAGACACCAATTAGACCAACTTCACATGAATCTTAACTCCACATTTCCAGGAATTGAGTTCACATTTGAAACAGAGGTTGACGGACAGCTCCCATTTCTAGATGTCCTCGTATGCCGAAAAACTGATGGATCCCTTCAGACTTCAGTTTATCGCAAAGAAGCATACTCCGAGGTCATCCTACACTTTGAGAGTAACCACCCCATCACTCACAAGAGGAGTACTGTCTACAGCCTACTAAACCGAGCTAAAACACACTGCTCTGATGAAGAAAGTTATCAAGCAGAAGTGAAATACCTTTTCAAATTATTTTCCCACAACGGCTACCCGCGCCACTTTGTGCATCATTGCATGAAACATGAGTTTAAACAGAAAGGTATTTCGAAAACAGCGGCCACCCAAGCACCAAAAACTTTCACCTGGCGGACCCTCCCATACATCAAAAATGTATCTGAACTTGTCGAAAGACAACTGAAAAAGCATCAGATACACGTAGCACACCAACCTACAACCACCTTGCGCACACAGCTTGTACACCCTAAGGACAGGGTTGGCTATCTTGATAGGAAAGGTGTTGTCTACAAGATACCATGTTCCAGTTGTGATGCCGTGTATTGTGGCCAAACTGGGAAATCCGCCTCTACCCGCTTACATGAGCATCAGTTAGCGGTGAGGAGACGAGATCATTTATCCCAGGTGGCTATGCACACACTGGACACTGGACACAAATTTGCATGGGAGAACACCCGCATTGTTGGCGCCTGCCCAATAAGGAAAGGCCGCGAATTCCTGGAAGCAATGCACTCAGATGAGGCATGCATCAATCGGCATATCGATTTAGATGCCACATACAAATTTCTCAAGGACAAATGGAAGCGAGCGCAGCCAATGCCGAAGGGATGACAAAATCGTTGACGCGCATTGGCGCAGACTTCGGCCAACCATAGAATCACTTGTTTGACACGGTTAAATAGTTAACTGTTTTTGTACATTGCCCAAAAGTCTGACGACGAGCTGGGGATCCAGACTCGAAAATTTACTCATTAAAGTTTATTCCCTTCCCAAAGAATCTTACTTATTTTCAATATATATATATATATACAGATGGCCGAAATTCTGAAATGCGCTTTCGACTGGGAAGGATTAATAAACTGGATTTGTGATATTGTTTACCATTTAGCATAACTCTTAATTTTTTTGAACTTGACAGAGTGAACGTTTTTTGAATGTAAATCTTCCTGACCGCCTGCAGAAATGAAACTTGGTAAACAATGTCTACTTAAGTAACATGCATTTTTAACACTGAATTTCGGTGTTCGCACAAATTAAAAAACAGTTTATAGGAAACATGCAGAAAGCGTGCTTTCATTTACTTGCTTGGTAGAAAATTACATTGGCTGCATATTTTATAACCGAAAAAGTGTGTATTTAGGCTTTAAAAATGCTTCCCAATTCCTGAATAATTTTGAGTCTTTTCAGCCGTCGCATTAGCGTTTCACGATTAAACTCTACAAGCTGCATGCTTTCCGCGTACGCAAAATCATTGCCTTCCTTGTGCTTTTGAGAAGGTATTATACGGAGTTCATAAAAGTCTGCAATAAATAAGGCTCTGTTGCAAATGTCATGAAGAGCATTGGTAAACAGACACGTGCGATGCCGTATATGAGGGCAGCGAACGGTCTTAAAGGCCACATAATTAGAAACTTTTTTTAAACCTAACGGACAACATTCCTTACAGTATAAAGTATGCAAACAGTAAGCGTTTCTACCAAACTAGTAAACGAAAGCATATTTGGTGCACTTTTTCTCTAAAATATTTTCGAATTTGAATGACCACCGAAATTCGATGGGAAAAATGCATGCTTAATATGTAGTCATTTCCTACCAAGCTCGGTTTCTGCAGGAGGTCAGGATGAAGTGCGTTCAAAAGCCTACGTCCTGCAAAGTCCAAAATAATTTGGAATTACGTTACATGTTAGAAAACATCACAACATTACCTTATTAATCCTTCCCAGTCAAAAGCGCATTTCAGAATTTCGGCCAACGTTTCATGAAATTGGTCGGCACAATACATATGTATATATAATGCAAAGACAGCTCACTAGGAGTGCAAAAAGCCAAAGCAGACAGCTGTTTCATGGTCGTTGCCGATCATTAGTGCGTCAACGCCTTATGAATTGAGGTATATAAACATTTCGAGTGGGCGCTTGACCCTCACTGTTATGAATATGATCTCATCGGTCGCATTCCGCCTGCCCGCCAGCTTGCTGCTGGCGACATCGCTACGAGTACAACAGACCAGACGCAGCCAGCAGCTTCACGGTCGTTACCGTTTATCAGTAGGTCATAGGGCTTATATGTATACATCAAACGTATTTTATAGTACTCCCGACACAGGTACTAACTTAAAGCTAAGACACGTGTTTTGCCGCTATTCTGTCGCTGCGTGACACAGCGAAGAGGGGTTCAGTGGGACCCTAGCGTTCTCTCTGCTCTTTCTCGTATACGAAATTCATATACTAATTAAGGAATAATTTCAGAAATTACTCAATACAGGACATAGATGTAAGTCGCTGGGACATGACTGTTTAGCAATTACGTGGTTATTCCACAGTAGTCGATTGTCTTCAACTTAAATGTTCATTGACATTTCGGTTCTGACCATGAAACATCATGTCCCGGAGACTTAATTTCAATTTCTGCTTTAAGTTAATTCGAAAATTATTCAGTTGGTATGTATATATATATATATATATCGGCAAACTCAAATGAACCGCGTCATCAAGCTTAAATGTTGATATGACGCTATAAGTATAACAAACATCGAAAAGATTACCTGTCCCATCATAAAAATGCGAGTATGTAAATAAATGCGGTTACTTATTTGAACCAATGCAGGATGATATCAAGGCACGCACTGTCTAATTGATAACGGACACTGCGCTTGAGTAGAGTAATGGCCATGCGGAAGTATACTGTTTGTAAATTACAGCAATAATAGCGATAATAATCTTATCTGTAGATCTTATTAATATCAAAGATCACAGTAAACAGCTGGCCCAGGCCGTCTTGCTTGCATCGCAAAATAATCATTTTACTTGCTTACAGATATTCCGTAGTGCATTCAATTAACGTCTATCTGCAAGGTTGATCGAGTATTTTTAGGCCGTCGTCGCCTGTTCTATACATATATGGCAATGTACATTTAAATATGTGGGTCAGTTCAATCAGTGTACTGCATTACAAAAGCTGACCTGCATACGCACAGTTAACTGGCAGACTTCGCTGCAAATTGAGATTACTAGGGACGAAAATATAAGTCAATATGAATTAGTCAATATGAATATGAATATAAAAATATAAGTTTTTAATGCAGCCGTATGAAAGAAAGAACGGGGATGAATTTCGAGCTTACTAGGCATTGATCTTGTACATTTATCTAGGGAATTGTGCTATATTAGTTCATTTCAACTTACGATAATCTACTACAGAGTTTAAAGGCTCTCCTATTGTTACTTAAATGATTTTTGTAGGAACAATTTGGTTAAATTAACTGAAAGTTAGAACTAAACGCATAACAATCAAAAGACATATTAGTATTAGCATCAAAGCCTTAAGTATTAGGAGGTGCACCTCATCCTTTATGCTTAACCTATGCGTACTGTCTTCGTAAAATAAAGCGACGGTCAGGAAAGTCATGCATTCAGCTACTATACGCTACTTTAAGAAATGAGTTCGTAATCGAATAGACTATGTTGTTCATGAACTACATTTTCATGTTTCGCTCTAGCAAGCCCATTTCCGCCGATCACAAAGGAATCCAATGGACTTGAAGATAACCTAATCACCTCAACTGACAAATGTGTCTCCATGGTTGTAAACCTACCGGAAAAAGCGACGGTAATATGCATGCTTTGTTGCACTGTAGGACAGTATAAAATACATGTTTTCTGTTATTAATTTTGGAAGCAACATTCGGTTTTGTGCAAGTAAACTGATAAATAATTCTTCCGCTGGTACAGCCCTGCCAAAAACATTTGTAATGTTAGTGTATTATTTAAAAAATGAAAAACAGTCCAACCGCTGTCACTGTCAAAGAATGGTGTTTTCTCTTTAGGTAAACTAATTCTCTAGCACTACCTAGCTTTTCAGACAGGAGGTGACAAGTAAATAAACCGTCTGGTATTGTCAGTTTAATTATGCCTACATTTTCCATGAGGCACGCTCTAAGAAAACCATAAATTCTTTTGCCAAATAAAAACATTCTATCTGCAGCATATAAATGTGGACTCTCGTTATCTGTACTGTGACGGACATCGATGCCGAGCCGCAGGTGATGATTATATTTCCGTAGACTACAAACAAGAAAAAGGTAAGAAATATATCTAGGTCGTGCACTTATATATTTGCTTAGCGCTGTGAACAATAATTATCCTTGTACTATAACAGGTATGCATACGTTAATATAGTAAAGCCGGTTTATTATTGATTTCGATGTCGAAACTGGTTGACAACATCAGGGCACCTAATATATTCTATTTTCACAAGTTAATTCGCACTGGATTGATTAGCTTAAATACTTTATTTCTGAACACATCACTACAAACATTAGACCGCTAACATATGACGTTTCTGATCTTCCAAATAACTATCATGCAAACGTAAGCTATTATCAATGTTTGCTGAATATTTAAAAAATTAACTGTACCAAATTTGGTTCACTTTCCCGTTAACCTATCAAGCATGATCCCAAAATAGATACTAGCATCTGTCGAAATAATTTGGTCATCACCATTTATATGTACAAATATAAACGTCCTTTATTTGCCCATATGTCATGTTTACAAACTCCATTTGCTTTCCAGTACAAACATATCAGCCTTAGGTAGACTGAGGCTCTGTTCATTAGGAAAACACATGTAGAACGCCAGTGCCCACTTAAACCCTAATTTTGACTCCGTTTTTGGTATTTGCAGTCGGGAGCCATTATCTGGCGGAGGCCAGCCTATGCAGATACGACAAAATATTTAGAATTGCTTGGGAAGTTGAAGGCATACAAGTGAAGAACAGACTGGCACGCATCACGCAATTTCTTGTGCCCAATGGAGACTGGCTGGCAACCAGAATCGGTAAAGGACCGTTTTTTAACGCGAAGATAATTAAACTTTAAGCCTCTATTATGTGAAATCTAACATTTTCAACTTCGTATGAATCTTAGGCTGCATTCAACCACAATATTCGTTGCCTCTAATACGAAACATAACTGCGGGATCGAAAGCTGAATTTCAGTGCGCAATATCGAAGCAGAAGTGTTACGGCGAGGAAGATGTAAGCATGTGACAATAATCGAATGGATTTCGAAATAAGTAATTACTACTACTTACGCCTGTCTCATTTTTCAGGTGGTAATATTCGACCAGAATAGAGTCTTCTGCGAACACAACAAGGCCGTACGCACGTGTGGTAAGAGCTATATCGTCAATGAAATCGTTCATCACATGCATATTTAATTTTGCACTAGCATCCGTGTAATGCATCTATTACAGAAAGAAGGCAAATAGACGATGAAATCGTCATTTTTTCAACCCCCATTTTCAAAACGGAGCCAAACACCCATTGGCCAGAGCAGTATGTCTTCTGCAACAGTTTGGAGAGTGATGTGTCCATTAAATTTACCTGGAAATAGGGTAAGTTTATGCAAAATGCTACGAAACGTTATTCATATATCCATTCCATTGTATATAAAAAATCAAACCGCCAACACAACGGGTCCCTAGCCCAGCGGTGTCAGGCATTTGGCTTCGATATAAGAGTTCGCGAGTTCGAGTCCAGGGGTTCCACAATTCGGGGTTATAAATGACTGGCTGACGACGACTAATAAGCCAGAAATGGCCGGTCCTGTCTTCCTTGTCTTTCTCGGTAATTATTTTCTGCCTACATCATGCGTCTCTGTGCAGCTGCTCTTTGGGCTTAAGAGGGAGTCCATAAAGCACAACGGGACGAGTGAGTTCGGTGAAAACGATTGATGAGCGTCTCTTTACTGTTATATGTAGTGTTGCAGCTGTGGAATAGTATAAAAAGAGCTCAGGTTTCTTTCATTTGTATGAATCAAGATTGCCTTATAAGCATTGATAGTTCCGTAGTAGATGCAAAGCAGTGCCTTCATTGGCTTTACTTACAAAATTAATAAGTTAGCTAAAAGTTGCACAGGACATGTATTGACAAATCCAAAGTTTACTATCAATTGTTCATATGCGTGGGTGACCTTTTAACATTTGTTTTGAAAACACTGTGCTACACACTTCTCGTCCTATGATGACCTTTAAGCATTATCACTGAAAATACAGATAACGCGTAAACTTTAAACACTTTGTGTAAAAACAGCACAGTTAGATCCAGTAAAATATTCCATTGAGTCGAGGAACATGTTTTACTATGAAGCATTAGATATCTGCAGGTAACAAGGCATTAAATACTTGCAATCCATTATTGGGTTCCCTATTAAATATGTGCTATTTTATCTTCTATTTCAGATGTGAAAAACCGGAATTAAATCAGGAATACTTTGCAGGAAGTTTGTAACTTATTTTTTAGAAGGTTTGGTTGCCTGGTGTCGGGGGTGAGGACAAAATACATTTTTCGATACATTTCTACAAGGATAACAAATGGCATTATGAAGGGATTAACGGACAAGATCATACTCACTCCCAGCAAAAGATGATGCTAAATTTGATGGAAATACTCAGCGTGGCATATGATAGCGGGTTCTTCGTTCGCTGAAAAGAATTTTAATTGTTTGTCCGCTCTCTGTCAACTGCAGATATCAAATGGTAGTAAGGTGACGACGCAGCATTACACGAGCAGTTTTATTATGTATTTCGGACGGTGTAAATCACCAGAAATAGATACTACGTAGGGAATGTAAACCTTTCAACATCGTAAATTTGCAGTAGCGGAAAACTGAAAACGAAATCAAACGTTTACTAGTGCATCGTCCGTAAGTAATTTATGACATATTAACGGTTTTTACAGCATAATAAATGCAGAAGACGATGCAATCACTGGATCAGTGGGCTAGTCGGTATGACGTCGCGACATTTTGCTCGAACCTATCATCACAAACAGTCGTAGATAAGGGTGATGGAGTCAAAGGGAGTTCAGTATTAATGGAAAGTTGATGCCACGCTGTCACGTGTCCACTGTAATTCGCGCTTCCACATTTGTCGCTCAAACTCATACTTAATGCAAGTATTACTTGTTTGCCGGCAGCCGATTCGTTAAGTATCGACATATAATCACATTAATGACGGTCGGTGTGATAACAGCTTGGCAAGTCGGCTCTCGAAGTATTACTCCTCGTGCCTTCGCACATGGATAAGTATTCTACTCAAATAAAGTTCACAATGGACTCTGGAGCCGATGAGTCATTTCGCTTGTTGGCCCCCGCCCGAGGTCTGGCGAAACATGAATTTAGCCGCTCACGATTCACGAAAATGCTGTCCTCGTCTGTTTTGGAGGTGTGGTAAGATCTCGTCGTATTAGCCGTGACTTGAGAGTAAGCATCCTTCCGCATCCGCAGACTGTGGACATCCCTGTCTTTCCGCATCGTCCATTACTTCCCCAGGTCCAATGACAAACTCGAAGCGCTTCTTGCAGTGGCAATGAGTCTTTTGACCTTACATCAACACGCCAAATGCAGAAATAATTTTGTAACTATGCCGAACCTTTGTGACACACTTTCAGTGCCTTCAGCAGGAGACATTGATGATGTAAATACACCGAACGATTCTGCAGGCTTTACATGATAGTCAGCAGTGCTTGGTTTGCACAGCTCCTTCCGATTGACGCCCGTTTTTGATTACACCATGTGGTGGCGGCAATCTCCGAACATGCTGACGTTATTCTTTACGCACTTATCGACCTTCGAGTACTGAAACTAAAAGAGGAAGATGAAACCCAAACGAAAACGGCTAGGCCATAGTATATGCTGCTTTAGTTATACGCAGAAAAGTTTTCTGGTAATTCATCCAGATATGCATTACGTCCAATTTTCAGCTGTGAAAATTGAGTTGATAATCGACTGCTAACCGCACATGTGAAGCAGGTAATAAAATAGATGAAGGAATTCGTGCACATACAGCGGCTGCTTCGAAAAGCAAAAGAGGGAAGTGCGTTTAAGCAAACAACTTACACATGCTTTCGGTAGCGAGGAACCTATGCGCGCCAAGGCTTGCGTGCCGAACGATAAAACGGTAGGACAAACACAAAGAAAACACAGCATTTTTTAAAATGTTCTTCAATGCTCAGTTTTGACGTAAGTGTTTCTAATCTGACAAGCAATGTCATTCATTTTTGTTTTTAGCATTCCGCTGTTGAATGATCTATACAATGCCGATGTTGAAATTCCACTCTGTTTCGCATGTTCTTGCATTCCGGAGCCATTTTGCATCTTTTTGATTGAGGCGATACTTGATGCTTCAGTGTTTAAAATAAACTGCCGCTCGGAGTTTTAAACAGAACAGCAACCCGTAGCGTATATAACTTACAGTGCGAGAACTTAATAATGAAAAGTTGTTACATAATCTGATATAAAAATAGTCAACGACTTGACGCCGCATATTTTGTTCAATTCACCAGATTTTTAAAGTAAAGTCCTTTTTTTGAGAAAGTGTCTACGCAAATCCACTAGCAGAAGTTTCATATATCTAAACAAAATTGTGCGTTGCATGCCAGCCTACTATGCTAATGGAAGCGAATATGCGAATCCCAGGTTCTTGTTGTAAAGAAGATGAATAACCGATCTCTGGGACAGTGGGTTTATTAATCTGAGCTTTCGGTCGCATACAGGAGGCCATCGTCAGAGCCTGTGAGAAGGCAACATCAAATGAGCGGTTTTTGTAGTCACGCCATGAAGGGGGGGGGGAAAAATATGAGTGCAGAGGGTGGTATTCGCGATAAGTTGCGTCCCACGCCGTCTCACGCTGGCGTGACTGCGTGCACCCTTGGCTGGAAATTGGGTCTCGCCCCTTGGCCGCGGGAACGGAGCGCGAGATAGCAGGGGGCTATGTCAACGTGCCTCTTGATAGCGTTGGTGTCAGACACCCAGGCCTCTAACAGTTCTCGTCCTGTCTTATTGCTGGCCCGCGCCACTATCCGCGTGCTCGCAAAGTTGAATTCGTGGCCTTTCTCCAGGTTGTGAGTGGCGACCTGAGACAACGGGTCGCCTCTCCGGACCGCCCGTTTGTTCTCTGTCATTCGTGAGCTAAGTCGTCGTCCGGTATGTCCAATGTATTGGCGAGGGCAGTCCCGACATGGGATCTGATATACGACGCCCGATTGTTTACCCACGTCTAGGCGATCCTTCACTTGCATGATTTTGCTGCGCATGGTCGCTGTCGGACGGTGAGCGATACCGACGCCGAGCTCTCCAGCGATACGTTCCACCGCTTCGGATGCGTTCTTTATATATGGCAGAGGGTGCCAGAGTGTTTGCGACTCTCCTCCGTTTGTTCGCCGTGGGCGCGTGCGGAGGCAGCGGCTGAGGAAGCTGTTCGGGTATCCATGTCTTGCCAGTTTGTCCCGAAGATGCCGAAGTTCTCGTACTCGTCCCTCTGGTTCACTGCAGTGCGTTTTTACCCTCTGGAAGAGTGTCCTACAACAGCTGCGTTTATGCGCTATTGGGTGGTTACTGTGGTAGTTGAGAATCTGAGTCGTGTTAGTCGCCTTTCTGTACACCGTGGTGTTGAGTTCGCCGTTTGGTGTGCGTGTGACGAGAACGTCCAGGAAAGGCAGCTGTTTGGCATGCTCTTCTTCCCTTGTGAACTGAATGTCTGGGAAGATGCCGTTGAGCAGGTCTTGGAAGTCGGCCAGTCTGTTCCCTTCAATTATGACGAACGTGTCGTCCACGTACCGGCGCCAAAATGCAGGTTCATAGTGATCGAGGGCGACTTTTTCCAGTTCCTGCAGGACTAGTTCTGCAACCAGGCTGGATATTGGCGAACCCATCGGCGTTCCTTTGATCTGTTCGTATGTTCTGCCATTGAAGGTGAAGAAGGTTTGTTGGCAGAAAGCAAACAGTTGCAGTAAGTGGTCGATTTTTAGGGGTTTGTTCGTCTCGTCGCGTGCCAGGTCCGGTGGGATGGACGTGAATAATGAAACCACGTCAAAGGACACCATAATCTGCTCCGGTCGGACAAATTTTCCTCGGATGTCGGCCAGGAATTGGGAGGCTGAATTGATGGAGGTCCTTGAGCCTTCTCGGAGAAAATTAAGTTTTCGGGCCATCCATTTGGATAGATTGTAAGTGGGGCTGCCTTTCAAGGCAACGATTGGTCGAAGGGGAACAATGGGCTTGTGGATTTTGGGTAATCCATAAAACCGGGCCAGTGCCGTGTCCGTTGGTTTCATCTGTCGCCACTCGTCCAGCGATATAGCACTGTTTCGCTTGAGTCGGTTCAGGAGTCCAGTTAGTTGACCAATCATCGATTTGGCTCGCGAGTGAGGCGTGGACTTGTAGGACTGTTGGTCTTCTAGGAGGGCTTGTGCCTTTTCGTTGTAGTCAACGCGGTTCATCACGACGGTTGCTCTTCCTTTGTCGGCTGGCAGCACTATTATTTCTGTGTCCATTTTTAATTCCCTCATTGCTTCTATTTCTGCGGGCGTTATATTATTGATGGGCCTGCTCGTCAGCAGTAGGGAGGTGACTTTTTGGCGTACGGTGTGTTTAGCCTCGTCGGTCGCGTTGGTTCTTACCACATGGCTTCAAGTGCGGCGATAAATTCGGCCAGTTTGGCATCTACCGTATTAAAATTGGCTTCATGACTCAGCACTCTCAGTTCTTGTTCAGTTAACTGTCTGGAAGATAGATTGTGTACCACATTTTCGTTCGTCTTGTATTCGGGTTTCAACTTTCCGAACTTCTGCTCTACGTTCATGCGTTTTAACTCCTGTCTCCTTTTTGCCAAGATGGATATTGTTCGGCCAGGGGAATCAGTAACCAATTCGCCAAACAATGTCGCGCACTCTGTCCTTTTCTGTTCAATGACGGCGCGGTACTCTTGTAGACGCAAGTGGCAGTTGTTAATCAACACTTTTGTCATTTGCTTGCGAAAGCGTCGCGCAACGTTTCTACCAAGTTCAGTATTCACTGGAGTCTTGTAGCGTGGGCTCTTCGGTGTCAGTCATTCGCGAACATATCTGTGCAGAAAACGTAGCTGCTCATATGTTGCTGCTTCTCGGGTGGTGAATGTCTCTCAGCTGCGAGCTGTGCAAAGCGCATTACGCCCGAAATTTTCACGGATGGAAGCGGATATGCAAATTCCAGGTTCTTGTTGTAAAGAAGATAAAGACCCGATGTCTGGGGTAGAGGGTTTATTAGTCTGAGCTTTCGGTCTCGTACAGGAGACCATCGTCAGAGACTGTGAGAAGGCAACATCAAATCTGCGGTTTTTGTAGTCACGCGCTCCTTTCCCGCGGCCAAGGGGCCAGACCCAATTTCCAGCCAAGGGTGCACGCAGTCACGCCAACGTGAGACGGCGTGGGACGCAACTTATCGCAAATACCACAATCTGCACTCATATTCCCCCCCCCCTTCATGGCGTGACTACAAAAACCGCTCATTTGATGTTGCCTTCTCACAGGCTCTGACGATGGCCTCCGGTACGCGACCGAAAGCTCAGATTAATAAACCGACTGTCCCAGAGATCGGGTCCTTATCTTCTTTACTATGCTAATTTCCGTTCTAAAGTTCGATTGCTCATCTCCGCAGGTTTTGTTCGAAAAAAAATAATAATGTGTCCTCTAGAGTTTTATCACGGAGAGCCTGATGCCTTTTTGATTTTTTTGCCTAAATGCCAGCTGTGAGAAATACAGTAGATGTGCTGACTCATACAAATGTTAATCGAAATTCTAAATTGCGCTTTGCACTCGAAACGATTACGTAACTGATGTTGTGATTTTTATAATCTTGCAGCAGAATTCCAAGATTTGTCAACTTTCTGGGGATGAGGGCCTTTGAACAAACTTTCTTTCGGCTCCCTAAAAAATTGTAGCCCTTGAAAATGAAAGGAAGCATGTCACAGAAAGTTAAGACGGAAACATAAAATATCTAAAAATAATTTTACGAAACTGGGTAGATAAACCAAATATTTTTATTGGTCAAAGTACCAACATTAATAAATACGTTGTACAACAGTTATTCTACGTATATTTTTGCTGTACAAAATTATATACAACCTCAGTTACCTGATGCAGGGAGAGCGAACGCCAAAAGTTACGTGCAGTACAATTCAGGCAATCGGTATACCAGAAAATATACGTTATCACAATATAAACATGGTTTGGCCATCCTCAATCTAACAGGTTATTGCCTGTTCCCGACCGTTGTTCACAAAATGAAGGCTATTTGCTCTGGAAAGCCAATGAATCGATACGAAACCATTCGTAAATGAATAGATATATATATATATATATATGGATATAAGCGAAAATGCTGACCGCAGGTGTAGAAATGGAATAAGGAGATAAGGCGGTCCCTACTCTCGGTAATGCTATTCTGCATATATATATATAAATATATTGGAACGCAGGCATCCCAAGAAATATAATTTGAAATCAAATACGCTCTTTGAGAAAGGGAGAAAGGTTTATTGAGTAAATTTTCGTCGTCGGTTCCCCGTGTCGTCTTCAGACTAGAGTAAATGTGCAGAAAACATTTAAAATTTCAAACGAGCCACAAAATCGATACTCATTTGGTGCCTCAGATAGTAAGCTGCCGTCGTATGTGTCAGTCCGTATTGATCGGCTGTCGTCTCTTCCACTTTTCTCTGAGATTCTTCTACGTGGCATCTAACTCGCTATGCTTGTTGATGCATGACTCATCGGAGTGCATGGCTTCAAGAAACTCCCGATCTTTTTTAGATGGGCAAACTCCGACGATGCGAGTTTTGTCCCATGCGAAGTTGTGCCCAGTAGCAAGAGTGTGCATGGCCATTTGAGACAAGTGGTCTCGCCTCTTAACTGCAAGTTGATGTTTGTGAATGCATGTAGAGGCAAATTTTCCCGTCTGGCCGCAATATACGGCATCACAGGCATCGCATGGGATCTTATAGACGACTTCTTTTTTATCTAGATAGCCAACCATATCCTTAGGGTGTAGAAGCTGGGTGCGTAAAGTAGTCGTCGGTTTGTGCACTACTTTTATCTGGTGTTTCCTCAAATGTCTTTCAACAAGTCCAGACACATTACTGATGTAAGGAAGGATTCGCCAAGTGTTTGCTTTGGGCCGAGAGTTTCTTGAAGCCATGCACTCCGATGAGTCATGCATCAACAAGCATAGCGAGTTAGATGCCACGTAGAAGAATCTCAGAGAAAAGTGGAAGAGACGAAAGCCGATCAATACGGACTGACACATACGACGGCAGCTTACTAACTGAGGCACCAAATGAGTATTGATTTGGTAGCACGTTTGAAATTTTAATTGTTTTCTGCACATTTACTCTAGTCTGAAGACGACACGGGGAACCGACGTCGAAAATTTACACAACAACCTTTTCTCCCTTTCCCGAAGAACGTATTTGATTTCAAATATATATATATATATATATATATATATATAAGAATTCACACTCGGTGTTAAACCATAACCGCAGCCCCTATCCCCAAACGTTAACCCAAAGCTTCGTCCTAATTTAAAACTCTAAAACGCAATCTTGAAATACGAACCCTAACCTCCTTGTGGACCATAATTGCAGCAGTCCATGATGCAACCTAAATTGAATGCATCCGCAAGTGGTACAACGCCTGTTGAAATAAATAATTGTACAAATTTAACACATGCCAATCTCTTACTGATATCAACAATAGTACAAAAACGACAGATTGTTGATCAAGCGGGCTAGCGTATCCAAGCTTCACCAAAGGGTCCTTACTTTTTAGATTATGAATTGACTACTAAAGGTAATCAGCTGTTGTTTTCTGCGGAATTTAGCAAAAAATGATCATTTATTTAAAATATGCTAATGATGTTTGTACTTTTGCATATTATCGAGTATTTAAATGTGTCCCTTTTTAAATGTAAAGGCAATACACGAGAGACGCGTAAGTGCGTTATTCCTTAACATGCGGGGCTATTTCACAACTTTAAATTAGCCAAACACATTGGCGGCAGACAGTAAATTACCCCATACCAATCCAAACAGCGCAAAGGGCTCCTAAGACCATCTAAATCGTCGTAATCAAAACGTCAACGCATTAAATGTCAGCCGTTTTTCGCAATTTTATAATAACATAATCATCAAAAACGGATCGGACAAAGTAGAACAGTCTTCAACAAGGCGTAGTACTCCAATTAGGCGAAAAATTTACCGACATCATAGACGACAAAAATCAAAAGGTTACAGATAGCCCCTGCCAGTAGACAGTTGAACCTGTTCAAGACGTTTTAAATGAGCACCGGCAATACATTTGCATTTAAATCAGTTCGTATCTTAGATACACAAGACACCGGAAAAAATTCAAATTGTCAGCCAAACGACCATTGTTTTGTCTTGTTATGCTTAAACGACCTAATTTTTACTACAAAAATGCATTATCGAGGAGCATCCTAACTGAAGACAATCGGTTTGATGCGGAACTATACAGCATCCTCGGCATTTTTCGTAATTGAAAAGAAAGTACAACCTTTAAACACACTTTATAATGCAAGAGATAGTTTGCGCATTGTGCGCGAACGGTAGAACGCACGACGTTCTCAACCCTTGTAACCTACGTCAAATTAACAATTATGCACTGCACACATGCGTAGATTATTTTTCGCATTAAAATGCCCGCATTTGCCCGTTCAATTAGAGTCCATGCGTCAGCTAAGAGCAGTCTGCTATAATAAGCAGTAGAAACAATAAATTGGAAAACCCTTTAACGGGCAAATTTGCCAAATATGCTCAGTGTCGCTACATTTTAAGTCTCTGCCCCGAAGATGCGGTTGCTAATTTAAACACTTAAGATTCTGTTAAAATGAATTTTATGTTGTCTACTCATTTCTGTTAAAAGGCTTTCGAGTTAAAAATGTATTCTTCTGATAATTATGATCTAAGTTTGTGTTGTAAAGTTGTTATTCGGACGTCAAGGTCGCTCCGCCGATACATGCAGTAATTCGAAAGAAACATTCAGACAAAAAATTTTTTCCAACGTTTCCTTGATGCACAGATTAATAGTTAAAAATTACTACTGAATTATGCTCAAACTCCGCAGTAGTTCTGGATCCCATCCTGAACTCTACAACTTATATTCCGTATTCTATTTTGGTAGATTAAAGCGAATGTTCCTTTTTTTAACAGAATTTCTCATGATTTCGAAGGAATCCAAACAGCAATTACCCCTGACATCTAGCATTTACAAACATTAAGAACACTCCCCGGCTTTGGCGAATGCTCATTGCTTGTTTGCAACGTCTACCGCCTTACTGTACATTATTCAGATATGATGATCAATAAGTCAGTACCCGCGTCCGTGGAAATTGAGATATTTGATGTTTCCATTGGTATCACCACAAAACATAGTTAAAAAAGGGCCTA